CACTTTAAAACTGTGTTCTATTATGACTATAATCCCAGCTTTGTGGGAGGCCAAGGTGGGTGGATCACTTGAGGGCAGGACTTCAAGACCAGCCTGGTCAACATGATGAAACACCATCTCTACTAAAAACACAAAAACTAGCCAGGCATGGTGGTGCGTGCCTGTAATCCCAGCTACTCACCAGGCTGAGGCAGGAGAATCACTTGAACCCGGGGGGTGCAGGTTGCAGTGAGCCGAGATGGTGCCACTGCACTCCAGCGTGGGTGACAGAACAAAACTCAGTTTCAAAAAAAAACCAAAAATAAAGAAGGGAGAAGAATGCCCCAGACTGAGAGAGAACGAAATGCAAAGGTCCAACACAGGGTATGCTGGGCACATCCAAAGACCAGCAAGGAAACCAGTGTGTGTGAAGCCAAGGAAGATGGTAGGGAGAAGATCAGAGACATAGCCAGGACCCACATGATGCTGGCTTTAATGGACCATGAATTTTACTGAATTTCACTCTGAGACAGGAATCCATTACAGATATGGTTTTCAGCAGAGAAATGATCGAACCCAAGTTTATTTTTAAACGTATCATTGCAGTTGCTTTGGGAAGAACCACCAGATAGGAGGTCTTCTAAGAGAGAGATGAGGCCAGCTTGGATAGGGCTGGTAGTGGTGGAGGTAGGAAAAAGAGGTTGAGTCTTGATGTATTTTGAAAGTCAGGCCGTCAGCACTTGTGGCTGGTTGGAGATGGTGCGTGAGGAAAGAAAAGGCATCAGAGGTGTCTCAGGAAAAAGCTTCCTAATCCAGTCGAACAAGCTTCCCCTGATGCAGCTCCTCCAGTGGAAGCATTTAGTCCTTCCACTAGACTGTCTGAATGATCTTTTCCCTCCAGCTTATCTTCCAAATAGGTTCCCAAGTGGCTTTCTGTTCTTAGCAATCACGGGCCCAGGTGATGTCTACACACCAAATATTCTTGAACCATAAGGCAATCAGATTACGGTTTTGTATATTATGAATTTTCAGACTTCATGGTTTCAAAATAAATTTCCTATACCAAAAATACTTTTTAACTGCTGGTGACCCTATGTACCCATTTTTCCCCGCACATCCATTTTAATACTGGTCCAAAGGGTTAAAAATAAATAGCAAGGGGAGCTGCCTTAGCGGAAACAGAGGCCACAAGATATGGAATTTGGGGATGAGAAATGCCGGAACACGAAAGGAAGGAAGAACAGCCCCATCATCTTGGCCCTCGGGATGTTACGAATAGAGGGAACACCAGAAGAAGGTGTAAGGGAGTAAATGATTGACGTGTAAACAAACATCCCAAATGTTGTCTCTTTCAAAAGTTACTTTAGAGAGAATCTACTAGTGTGTCTGGAATTGGTGGGTTCTTGATCTCACTTACTTCAAGAATGAAGCCGCAGTCCCTCGCGGTGAGTGTTACAGTTCTTAAAGGTGGTGCGTACCGAATTTTTTCCTTCAGACTTTCATATGTGTTTGGAGCTTCTTCTTTCTGGGTTCGTGGTCTCTCTGTCAGGAGTGAAGCTGCAGACCTTCGTGGTGTTACAGCTGTTAAAGGCAGCGCATCTGGAGTTGTTCGTTTTTCCCGGTGGGTTTGTGGTCTCATTGGCTTCAGGAGTGAAGCTGCAGACCTTCGCGTAGTGACTGTTACAGCTCATACAGGCAACGTGAACCCAAAGACCGAGCAGCAGCAAGTTACTGCAAACAGCGAAAGAACAAACCTTCCACGGTGCGAAAGAACTCCCGACGAGCTTGCAGCCAGCTGGTTCAGGTAGCCTGCTTTTATTGCCTTATTTGGCCCCACCCGCATCCTGCTGATTGGTCCATTTTACTGAGAGCTGATTGGTCCACTTTACAGAGAGCTGACTGGACCGTTTTGACAGGGTGCTGATTGGTGTATTTACAATCCTCTAGCTAGACATAAAAGTTCTCCAAGTCCCCACTAAGTTAGCTAGATACAGAGTACCAATTGGTATATTTACAAACCCTGAGCTAGACACAGAGTGCTGATTGGTGCGTTTACAATCCTTGAGCTAGACACAGAGTGCTAGACAGAAAAGTTCTCCAAGTCCCCACTAGGTTAGCTAGACACAGAGTTAGCTAGATACAGAGTACCAATTGGTGTATTTACAAACCTTGAGCTAGACACAGAGTGCTGATTGGTGTATTTACAAACCCTGAGCTAGACATAATAGTTCTCCAAGTCCCCATCTGGCTCAGGACCCCAGCGGGCTTCACCTGGTGGATCCTGCACCGGGCTACAGGCAGAGCTGCCCGCCAGTCCCGAGCCACGCCTGCACTCCTCAGCCCTTGGGCTGTCGATGGGACCGAGCGCCACGGAGCAGGGGGCAGCGCCCGTCGGGGAGGCTCGGCGGGAGCCTAAAGCAGGTGGGGGAGCTCAGACATGGTGGGCTGCAGGTCTCGAGCCCTGCCTCGCGAGGCCAGGCGAGAATTTGAGTGCAACGCCGGCGGGCCGGCACTGCTGGGGGACCCGGCACAACCTCCGCAGCTGCTGGCCCGGGTGCTAAGCCCCTTACTGCCCTGGGCCGGCCGGGTCGGCCGGCAGCTCTGTGTGCGAGTCCCGCCGAGCCCGCGCCCGCCGGAACTCGCACTGGGCCTCAAGCGCAGCGCGGAGCCCGGGTTCCCGCCTGCCTGCGCCTTTCCCTCCACACCTCCCCTCAAGCAGAGGGAGGCGGCTCTGGCCTCAGGCAACCCAGAGAGGGGCTCCCATGGTGCCGTGGCGGGCTGAAGGGCTCCTCAAGCGCCGCCAGAGTGGACGCGGAAGCCGAGGAGGCGCTGAGAGTGAGGGCTGCTAGCACGTTGTCACCTCTCACTAGTGCTCTGTTAATTATACATGGTCACAGAGGTGCTGCTATTGTTCTCAGCTTACTTGGAACTCTTCTTTGGGAGCTGTCCAAAAGCAGTGAATGTAACTTACACTAAAATCTGTGTTTCTAGAGGTCAGATTCCTGGGAAGCCCTGCTGTCAAGAATCCCAGATTCTCCTGGTTGGCAGGAACTTTAAAGCTTCTAGCCATAGTGTTTGAGCTCCCAAGGCAGTCCTTCAGCATCTTCCCAGGCAGCCCTAATTCACTGTGGACAGAAACCTGCCTGTCATTCCTTCTATCCACTGGTCATAATAGAGTATGAAATTTAAATATCACTGGTCCTATTAGTTCTTTTATATCTTTCATTCAAGTTGCTCATTTTTCTCACCTAAGAAAATTTACCTTAAATGGAAACCACATCACTTTGTAAGTGGAAAACTATGTCTATTGGAACCTAACTGCATAAGGGGATGGAAGAGAAAGTGATGATATTAAATTCTACTTAGGAGTTGTTGCCTAGCAAAGGTTCTGAGCGAGAGGCAAGCTCTCTCTTTGTTAAAACAGGAGATTACCAAGTATTATACAGGGGTGCAAAGACAAATACCACAAAAATGATACTCCTTCCTTGACATAATCCATAGGAACAAAAGAAGTGAGAAGGGCATATCTTTTTTCACCTTGTGATCCACTGTTATCTAATTTTATTGTCTGTGTACCACCCAATACCATGCTTCCAATCTCTACTGGAAGATGTACACACTGGGACACACTGGTAAAGTGATCAAGCACCAGGACTGTAAGTCAAGCTGATTTGGTTCAGCTCTTGGCTCTGCCAACTCCTAGCAGCCCAACCCTAAATACTGGAAACTGTATGCATAGTTTCTTCATCTTTACAATGGAAGCAATAATAGATATTCAGAGTAATGCTTTCTTAAAGATAGCATATACATAATGCCCAGATTTGGACATTATGCCCAGGTGTAACCTGACCATTGAAGAGGATGAGTTCAGCCTAAGATTGCAGCCTCATTCAGGTTTTGAACTGAACTCATTCAGCCTTTGGGTGTTCACAAGGTTGTGCTTGTAGCCAACTAAAATAAAATCTAAGGTATTTTGATGTAGAGCACTACTGAGCCACATCCCCCATTACCAACTTGTATTGCTAGGTGTTTCGGCCTGAGGGAGGACTTCACGTTTATTCCTATTAACTAGATTTTCCTCCTTCCCTGGTTCTTTGGCATTTGCTCAGCTCCTTCTCCTACGCTGTATTTGAGGGAAAGGAAGCCAAATGGGTAGAATTGGGCCATAATGAGGATGTGTTTGACATGCTGGATTTGAGTCTGTGTTCCATTGAAGAAAAGAAATGGAAACTTTGTTGAGTATCCATTCTATACTAGGCACTTTCCTTGACTATTTCATTGAACACTCCAAGGACCCCTTGAGGTAGATGTTATGGCCGATTTGCAGAGAAGAAATCTGCATTTTTATTTGAAGTTATTAAACATGGGTAAATGACCCAATTTTCTGCTTTTTGCGTAACAATAATTTGCAAACATTTTATCATGTTACTTCATGTTTCCCTTTTTTTCTTTATAAATAAATACATACTCCTTATTCTAAAAAGAATTTGAAGCACTTCTGTCTTGATGTTTATCATTTTAACGGTTGTATAATATCCCATTAAGTCACCCTAATTTACTCAACCAGTTTCCTACTGTTGACAGTTTGGCTCTGTTTACTTTTTGTGGTTTTTAAATTTTTTTTCTGTAGTAAATGATCCTCCTAAAAAACATCTCCGCATGAATGTTATTTTGTTCTGGAAATTTCCCCAAGCATGGAATACTGCATTAAAGGGGATATTTTTGGTGTTTCTTTATAGAGACTAGCAAATTGCCCACCCAAAGGAGTATGCTTTATTTGAGGGTAAAAAGCCAAACACACACACACACACGCAAATGGTTTTCTACAAAAGAAATTAATTTTCCACTTATTCATAAAATATTCTAGTGCTGTGATGGGTGGCAGGCACCTTGCCAGGGGCTAGGGACAAGGATAAGCAAGGCCAGGTCGGGGCCTCCAAGCAGCGAGCTGTGGAGTCGGGTAGAACAGGCGCCTGGCTGCAGCCAGGGAGGATCGCGCGCCCTTTCGCGCAGGAGAGTGGAAGCAGGGAGCTGTTTGTCAGCACCGAGGTAACGCTTGACCTGAGTCTTGCACAATAAGTAAGAGTTTGGGCACGCGATTTGTATTTATTTTATTGTGAATCTCTGGCCTTATATCAGAAAAAAAAAAAATTGTGCCACCCTCGGCACAGAGAACGTTGGTGGCGTCGTAAGCCCTCTAAGTCTCTTTCCATCGCCAAGGAGTAGGGGTCCGGGAAGAGGACCTCCCCGACAGCAGGCAGCAGGAACAGGATTTGGGAGCCGGGAACCCCTGGCTCGGCACGGAAGAGGGCAGGAGAGGACCTGAGCGCGGGGCTCACCGTCTGCTGGGGACCCGAGCCGCCGTGTGGCCCTCGGGGAACGGAAGACGCGCCCTCAGCGACCGTGAAGAGTCAGCTAAGCTATCTGCGGGCTAAGGAGACGGTGAGGGAACGGGGACTAACTGGGGTGGGGGTTAGAGGGCAGCTCGCGAGTGGGCTCCAAGGGGAGCTGGGCTCAGCAGTCCGGGACCCCGAGGGGGCAAGCGGGCGGGGAGCACGAGAGGGGCGGAGCTCCGGGGCCGGGGCCGCCGCGGCTGCCCAGAGGGTCTGCGGGGGCTGCTGCGGCCGGTCCCGAAGGCGGGCGCAGGGAGTGCAGTGAGCCATGCGCACCTCTCCGAGACCGTGACCTTCGCATAGGGAGCAGGGTCCGCGCGCCGTCCTGAGATCAGACACAAGCCCAGCCTCGTGAAGACCCACGGCCGAGGGGCTGGAGCTGCCTCTGTGCGAGGGAGCCCTGGCCAAGGCGCTGGTAGGACCAGGGAACCCGAGGAGGGCGGGCGGAAAGCGCCCCCAGTGGGGGAGGGGCCGTGGCGGGGTCTGGGGGCCAAGGGCTCGGGGCCGAACGAGGGGCACACGCCGGAGCAGCTCCAGCCTGGGAGCATTGGGCGTGAACGTGGGGGAAAGTAGGGACCACATTATAGGATCAAGGCTTTCCCCGGCTCAGAACTGGACTGTTCAGTGTCCCCTAGAAGGGGCAGCGGGTCACCTACGCCAATGAACGGGAGTGCACACCAAAACGCCTGCTGTCGGTAGTTTCTTGTGCCTCTGCCTTGCTTCTGCCTGTGATGTAGTCAGAAAGGACTCGCTCTCCATGTGTTAACAAGGGGACAGGTAGCTTCACAGAGTGTATGAATATGGAGGGGAGGGCCACGGCGTCAGCTCTGGCCCCAGGGGCCGTCAGTGTCCCTGCAGAATTCCTGGTCCAAGCCGCCAGAATTCCTTGGGGACTTTGCTTCAGTGGCATCAATTTAGACTGTCAGTTCCCGGGGCCTGATCACCAGCCTCCGTATGTATTTCCTGGGGAGAAAAAGCATACCAGACTGATGGAGTCTTATCATTATTTTAACATTATAGCTTTCAATAGATAACATGCATATATTTATTTTTTAAGTCAAATAATACAAACATTTATCTTCTAGAGGCACTGCCTGCACTAGCATGTGTCTATTGCTATCTCCTTTCTATACTCATAGCCTTTCACACTCTACATGTTCTGTCGCCGTCTTTTGATTCTTTAGCCAGAAAATGATGTCACCACCTCTGCCCACATCCTTTAATCTCCAGTGTTCCTTCTCGCAACGCCTATCTTGTCCTCAAATGTTTTTCACAAGGTGTTCCTCAGGGTAGGGAGCCCACTAACGAGAAGACATTTCATTTACTTGCTTCAACTATCCCAGAGATCTGAAGAAAAGGCACATTGGGGAACAGTCCATGACAAGTTCTAAACACACCTATCTTTCCCCTTAAACTGGATCTTCCAAGTGCATTTAGGTAGTCTGTTATTGAGAGGAAATAATGCAGGCTGTTTTCTGAAATGCTCTGGATTTCCAGAACTTAACACCACAGTAGTTCCTATTCCTTAAAACAGAACTTCATCAGTCACACCTTGCTGTTGCTTTTCCCGTCTCCACTCCAGGATCCCCTAACTGGTCTGCCTAGGATTTTTTCCTCTGTAGGAACCTGGGACACCGGGTGCTTTATACCTGCCTGGGAGGTGTTCCATGAAGGGCCTGAGGGACAAAGCTTTGTGGTGGACAAGGTGGGAGGGGAAGATGGAGGGGAAGTTGGAGGGGAAGTAGGAAGGAAGAAGCAGGCCAGGACCCTTGAGTGCAGAAGACTCCTCAAGCACAGAGCCCTGTCATTTAGGAACAGTCCCCATATAATTTGCTAAGAGACCACACATGCAGGTTACTTCCTGCCAACAATCAGTACAGTCAGCTCTGTTTCAAGACTTCTATGCTAGGCCAAAACATAGTAAGTGAAAACAATCAGCAAATCAACCAGTTTTTGTCTCTATGATAAAACAGAGTGGTTGAAACTAAATTAATTAAAAAAATTTTTTTACTGAATTAGCGGGTTCTTTAGGAGCTGTGTCCATTGTTTAAAATCACCTAATAGGTACTCCAGTCTCCACATTTTTCCTTTATTTTGTTTATCTTTTCATATTGCATAACCTTGAACTGGATCCCAACCATGTCAGAAAGTTCAGGCTGATTAGAAGCTGCCGCTTCTAAGACTTTTTGGTGGGAGAGAGTGGGGAGGAGAGGATGAGAAAATAATGACTGATCCTTGTGATAGGGTAGGTGTATAATGAAGAGGAAGAAGTTGACTACAAGTTTGAGACTGGTGAGGAGTCGCATATAATTCTTAAGGTAACAGTAAGGAATACTTAAGGAATGAGTAAGAAGTAAACAAAATTGTTCATCATTCATCATTCAAAATGTTTATAGAGTGCCTGGCTATGTACCATTCACTGGGAACTAAAAGGTATATAAAACCAGGTGAGGTCCCTGCTCTCCTGGAGCTTACAGATGCTTTGAGGTGGCAGCTGTTAGAAAAATAAATATTGGCTATATGTTATTACAAACTAAGATAAACTGTCTAAAGGAAAGAAACAAAGTTCTTTGAGGGTTTATACAAACTGAACTGTGAGACCAGGGAAGGCTTTCTCAAGGAGATCTCCCTTGAGCCAAGATTCAAAGATGGAGAGGAAGATTGAGGATATATTTGTTGTTGACATAGGACCAGGATATATCCATTAAGAATAGTGTTTGGCTGCTAGTCATTAAGAAGACTGACTGCCATGTGACATTTGCTGTACTACATAAGCACATATGCCAACTTGGCATTTTTGGCACTTTGGGAAAGAATGCTTCTTTATCACAGTATCAGAGTATCAGTTGCATTGTCTTCAGTTGGTCATGGTTTATCATTGCTGTATTCCTGCTTTATAATTAAATGTTTCGATTAACATTATTCTCATCCGTTTATTATACTGTGTACAACAAAATGTATGTATTGCAGTTCAATTGTGAATCATCCATATTCCCATTAATAAGGTAAATATATATAACCCTGATACCAAATATGGTTTATACACTGACTGTTCAATGTTATCACTAAATAGATTTTTTAACAGGTGAAAATAGGTGTGGCAGGTGGACTGAAATATCTTCCCTCCATCCCTAGCCACTGCTCTAATTGGGAGGATGCCAGAATTTTTCTATTATTCTAAAGCTTCGTGATCCTTTTCAAAGATTCACATACAGCTCTTCAGTAAAGAAAAAAAATCACCAATTGCACTGATGCTGTAAATATAAATCTCACAAGGTAATTCCTGGGGTGCTGTAACCAAGCAACATATTTAACATTCAAACAAATATTTTTATTCATTCAACAGTGTTTACAGTAAACCTTTTATGTGCCCAGAACTGTGCTAGATACTATAATTAAAATTGATTACTAGGACAGAGTCCCAACATGTAAGGAGTTCATAGAAGTCTAAGAGAGGTAGTCATGCTCATCCATGTGCAGGTAGTATTGTGTTCATTACAATGAAAGCATAATCAGGGTATGTTGATGTATAAGGGAAGGGAGTGGTCAATTCTACCAAAAGAGGAAGGGTCAGGGAAAGGTTCTTGGAGGAGGTAATGCTTGAGTTGAATCTTGAAAGATGAGGAGTTACACCAGGTAGACAAAAGAAGAAAGTATAATGGGAGAGAGATTCATGTGCAAAAACAAGCAACCAACAACAACTGAACCAGAGGCATGAAACATCATGTCAAGTTCTAGGACCTGCAAGTGGTTCAAAGGAGCTGAAGCATACGGAGCCAAGAGGTAGGGAGGCTAGCAAGGTGGCTAAAGTATGCACAATGGGGTCACAGAAACAAAGGTTTGAGTCGTGGTTCTGCCACTTTCTATCTGTGGGATCTCAGTTAAGTAATTTAGCCACCGTATTTAAGTAATTTAGCCACAGTAATTAATGATAATGAAGGTAGTACTTCCCTCATAGGATTGCTGCAAAGATTCAGATAAGATATGCACAGATTATGTACTCAGGAATTGTTGGCTATTCATTATTTATTCTAGGACAAAGGAAGCTGCTGGAGGGTTTTACATAGAGGAATGAGTCCTGAGCATTTTTGCAATCACTCTGGCTGCATATGGATGCTGGGTTGGAGGGGGGTCATTTGGAACAAAGTAACCACTTAAAGACATTATAACCATTTAGATAATGGTAATGATGGCCTGAACCACCGTGGTCATGGCAGTAACCAAGAAGAAAACGAGCTAAATGCTTGAGATATCGCCAAAGTAGACTCCAGTACAGAACTAAGTTATTCATTAGATGTGGTCAGTGAGGGAGAGGATTTGAGGAGGTGAAGCCTGAGATTCTGGTCTGTTATCCTTTGATTCTGTCAATCAAGTGATCTTGGGATAGAAAAAAAGAAGTGAGTATCAACCAGGACTGGGGATCAGGAATCTGGGAAGTGCTTGTATACAGAGAACTTCATGATTGGTACCAAAAAATGCTATCTCTGATTCAGAAGAGCCCTTGACCATTTCTGTGTCTGAACATAAAATAGGATCAGTTAATCCATACCAAATATAATATCCATCTTCTCTCTCTCTCTTTCTCTCTCTCTATTTCTGGGAGACTTTCAGTTCAAAGGGGATAGACATTAGACTTCACCTATTTGTCACTGCCTTGAAGTGACACATGTAACCCTCACTCATGCCTGGTACTGTTGGTTCAATTTTTGCCTGACACCAGCCTGATTCACTTTTTTCTCCTTTTTCTCATGTCTTCTCATATACAATAAGCACTAATTGAGGTGCCCACATGGACTTTATTAAAGTCCATGAGAATTAGAGGATTCAGGTAGTTCCTATTTCATAATGCAATGCAGTCTTGGTAACCACAGTATCCATTCATAAGGCAGGAAACAATACAGACATGTGTGATAGTGTTTGTTGAAAAGCTTTTGAGAGCTTTATTACTGTTTCCACCAAAGGTGGAAGTGCTGATTAAGGGTGTGCTTTTGGATTCAGTTGCTCAAACAACTGTATTATTACTCGAAGCCACAGAAATGAGCATTATAA